TCTGCCTTGCGTTTCATTAGTAAGTAATCAACATTCAGCATTCGTGCGCTTTGATTACGCCGGTCTGCCGGAGAGGCGCTCTCAGAGAGAATGTTGGATCGATTGGTCGCTTGCCATGAACGATTGGACGAGTGAATGTCATACGTAGCGGCCGAGCCACAGGCAGAGTCTACAGACCGTGAACGAGCGTGCCTTGTTGAATGGTAGCTTGCGCCGCGATAAGAGGGTATCGAGGAGGCATGTAATGATGCTGTGCTTCTAGTTGACAGGGATTGCCCAGTCCAATGAGCATCACGCTCAGTGGTAGCGTAACTCGTGAATCGACTTCCACCAGTTCCCGGCCCTCCATCATAGTCTATTAGAGGCGGAGTTGATTGACAATCATCTTCGCAGAGTACTCGGTACAATTCATGAACATCCTGGAGTTTCAAATGATTCGGGTGGATGATCAGGACAGTCTACCTGCTTCAACTGCACCTTGACGGCTTCGGGCGACAAGATCTGATCTATTCGATGCATGATCCGGTCCATGATTGGATCAGCGCTGAGATATCGATGCGAACGCGTCCTCGGTAGTTGCCTGGTCTTGAGATCTGCGATTTTCTCCTGAATACTCCTGGTATCTCGAGTAAGCCACCTTCCACTCTGGTCGTACTTGAAGTCTCTTTATATCCTTATCCTGATCTTCTTTCGAGCGCTGCAACTGCAAAACCATCTGGTCACGATCATCCAAGCGAGTGGTAAGGGCTAGCATGATATCTCGTTGCTTCACCAGGAGTGTCTTATACCTGACACTCTATACATTTCAGACCGAAACCATGGCCACCTGTCAAGTTGAAGTTTGTCTTTTTCCAAAGCTTCACGTTCCTTCTCCAAAGCCTCCTCAGTATGCCGAAGCTGCATCACATACTGCCCGTCACCCTCCTCCAACGTTCTATCCCGGAAGCGGTCGGTCAGGTCCTCACTCGATAGCTCTTCTTCTCCAAACTTCCTGTCGATCACTATCCCGGTTCGATCCCCTTGGTCATTCCATCAGATCCTTACCAAGTGGTGTCTTGTAGCCGGCGGTAGACTCTATCACGGTCTCGATCAGCCTTGACCTGATTTCACCTTCCACGTCAACTTTCGAGTCATTCGGTACTCTATCTGATTGTCTGTCGCTCATATCAATGGTTAACTTTTGAGCGAGCTGACTGCGCAGCTTCTGGATCTCTATCTCGTATCTATGCTGAAGTACTCAAACAGCTGATTTGCTCGGAGTTACTTGCGTAGACGAGCTTCCTGCTCTGATACATATTCATTCAGCACCGGTGTGTTCCGGACACTCCTTGCCCTATTGGCGAACTTGAGTGTCGAAAGAGACTCTCCAAAAGCTTCAGCCTGTCAAGGGAGGAACCTTTCCAATGCTTGGATCGCCTCGTAACCCATGGCATGAGTTTACATTGAAGAGAACTTGGCATTATCACAAGGGTCGAAAGTGGAGCACTCATAGTGACCCACCGCTGGTGAAATCATCGCAATCATCACAGTTATACAGTTGCCACCAAGGGAGTCCTCCAATAGCCGCGTTAGCTTGGAATCACGATACGGTATGTGACTCCGACCGCCACCACCGACTGCCGTGGTCTCTGCTGCGGGGAAGTGGGGAAAGCAATAGAGTCTTGGCCCACCCTGGCTGGCCTCTGTAAGGGCCGCTATCACATTCCCTAATGCAGATAATGACTGGTTGATCTTCTTGGACTCTTCTAGACGTGTTCCAGTAGCTCCTGGGGTCAGAGAGTAGTTCCAACAAGGCATGGGGTGATAGTCTACCCGTCAGCCGCACTCGCTCGCTGCCAGCTAGATCCACCAAGTTCAGCTTTCCCACCTGCCACTCGAGTGACGGCATGGAAGGAGAATAGTACTCACTCTCGTAGTAGAGTCCTCGTCGTTGCACATCTCGACGGTCATCATGAAGACTGCATGTGATCGTGATGAAGCATCATTCAGTTTGGTCTGACTACAGTACTGTATGGGACCAGCGTATAGGCACCTACCGTGGCGATAGCTCTAGAGGCGTTCCCCCGCCGCATTAGGTCGTAAACATCTCCGGGCTCTCGGACAACATACTCGCTCAAGCCGTCCACGTATCTGTCGCATCTCCTGTTGCAATTTTTCTACAGACTAAACGGTCAGCGTACACTCCTCGTCGGGTATCATGACGAATACTAAAATTTGATGATGGAGGATTAACGACGGTCGGCAACAGGTCGGATACAGTCTCATTATAGATCTGTAAGTAAGAAGCTCGTACTGTGAATATGAGGTGGTTGTGACGAGTAATGTATCTAAGACGTTCTTATTGCGAACTGCCTCAGGTTCTTGGTCACTCAAATATCTCTGCCATGCTTCGAGGTATGATACCCCTCTGAACATCGTTGTAGTAGTCAGTTATGAAGCCCTCCATAGTATGAGTCTTTCCTGTGCCTGTCTGGCCATAGGCCAATATTGTGGCGTTATATCTGTCAATTTGCAGTGTGGTAGTAACCACGTAGAGGCCTTCCTACCCTTGCAGAACACTGCGTACTGCCTCCCTAGCTGTTCGTTCATACACTTCTGGCTGAGTGGAGCTCTCATCATACCTAGGCAAACTTGCTACGACTTCAACTTGACAGGGCTTCTCGTAAGGATGCCTCGCGACGCGAGGCTCGCGTTTCTGCGCTTACACGGTATCGAATATAAAGACGTGATTCGCCAGGATCTGATGATGATGATGATGTCCATTGCTGTTATCGATGCTCCTAGAGGCCCTGTTGTTTTGCGAGGGAGACGAGTCGCCACTGGGGACCGATATAGCACAGACAACCTGAGCTCGCTCTGCGGCTGTTCACTATAGCACAGTCTCGAACAGAATGAATTCATGCTGATGATAACATGTACAGGAATATTGCTTACCTCACTGAGAGTAAGCTGTGGGCCGTTTATGGATACCACATGGCAGTAGTTAGGAGCTGTGAGTTCCCTTCTCAATGGTGGCCTAACTCTAATTGCTACCTGCTACGGCAGGTTCCATCATCATCCTCGTGTCTCATCTGAGCGTACTCACACTGAAGTCACCATTCGTCGGTTTCTCGACCCTTTTTTCTCGCATTGGAGGTTGAATAGCCATACTCAAGACGGCTATTCGAATTGACTGATGACTCTAACTCTACTACCAGTGCTGTAGCGATAAAGTGTTAAAACTAGCACAATTACACTACTCCGGGGGTGACAAAAAGTGAGTCAGCCGGATACCATAAACGAAGGACCCGAAACCCGGACGCCGGGGCAGGGGGAGAAGGGTTCCGTAGGAAAGACAAAAATAACTCCATCAGCCTCGGTGCCGGGGAGACCGGATGGCTGCGGGTAGATAAAAAAAGCATCAATACGTAGCTATCAATGGCTGCGAGGGATCGTACAGAACGACAAAGACGACACGAAGAATCTCGGTCGCCACTGTCAGCGTAGGAGCGGGCTATTAGTCTTACAGTGTGCTTACACACTGGCCACGTTAGTCGTGCCAACACGAACGCTCCACAAAGATCATTCCCGACGGCTTGCTGTTAAATAGCGGGGCATACCACCTCCTTACAGAACTCGAGAATCTATAGACCTGCCTTGGCCGTGCCTTCATGCAATCCGAGACCCTAGCTTGCTCTCCATATGAACTATCAAAATAAAATGCATCACCATTTATCCGCACAGTCACTGTGCCACAGTGCAGCTAAAGTGGCAACCACCGTCAGAAATTAGCTGTAACACGTCCAAATCATTGTCAGGCACAGGGGGAAGCCCATAACCCCATAGCCATACTGCCCGAGCTCAATTAACCTTTCGTTAAAAGTTTCAGGAAGTGCAGAGCCTGCACTCCTAGTTTGTCACAAAGAACTATGACACATCAGAGCATTATAACGGGGAATCCCCTGGGGGATCACTGTTCAGAAGACAACAGTGAAACTCTCCTCACACAGGACAGCTGTAAAGCACTGTCCACAATAGCAGAAGCACTTATGAAAGACCAGTGTCGATCCAGGTGAAGCTTCAGCGTTAACTACATAAACGATGATAGCAGTTATCGAGCAGGCCAAACCCGATAAGACGTAAGTAGACAAGTCACCCTAACCGTTGGAGTAAGTTGAAGCTAAGATGCTGGCTTCGAGATCCCTGAACAGGATGAGGAATCGACCAAAGGATTGGCGAGTGCCTGAGACTACTATCCCCCACCCAACCTAATATTCGTTTTCGCTAATGAAGAAATAGTAGAACTAGAACATTCGCATACGTTCCTCAGGACCTGTATGTCCCTTGCAGATGTCATCATAAGCTAAAAAGACTACTTTCACCCCACTACAAACTGGGCCGGTTTAACCGGCACAAAACACAAAAACAAGTGCTCGGTAATTGAAAAAATGATGCGTCTATACGAAGACTCCGTCGCTTCATTACCATTGCGTTATTGAGGCCCTCTAACCTGCCGCAAAGGACGAACGCTGACCATGCAGTTGATGATGACCGCCTTAAGACGGCTAGCTACAGACATCTTAGAGCTCTGGTCGGGAGACGACCGATCTCGACTCTCACAACGGATCTCCATCGGACGGCTTTGAAGCAGCTCCTGCCGGGTTGGGCTGCCATCCCTCTGAAGGAATATCGCGGGCGTTGTCAACTCCTTGATGGTGGTGGCTGCCTGTGTCTCCTCCCGGGAGACGGCCATTCACTACAAAGTTTGAACCAACTGAGCCCGACCCATGGATACACGTTACTAACTCGAGGATCTATTATGGAACGTTGCAATGTGACAAAGGCTGACTATAGTATATACCGGTCGAGGAACTTCCGATGGAAATCACTGCGGACTGCATCGTTGATGAACCTAAGCAGTACCTCATGCCCCCTTTTCCTCTCAACTGTATCCAATCCCACCTCTTTTTCCCCTTAGGCTGGTTCCTAGACTGATTCTTGAATACAGTATCATCATCCCATCTCCGTTTCAATTGCATGCTACCTCCCGCTGATAGGAAACACATCCTACCTTCCACAACTACCAACCTTACCTTGTAACAGAGGGT